CATATATGGTCAACGGTTACTGTGTCTGACAGAGTGTTATTAAGAACTACTGGTTAGAAAATATTTCGACTCTACACGTGCGTTCTACCTTATGCTATACTATACTCATGGAGGGTACCGTGAGCAGTTGTACCTATACAAAACATGGTCTATGACTGCTAAACAGAGTGTAGACTAAGTTACTTGCCAGGAATGTTAAATTCTACATATAAATGCTACGATACGCTACACTATATAACGGTACATGTAGTTGACAGTATTCAGTGACTCTACTTATACAACTATTCTAAGATTTCTAAGATTATAAATCACATAAATACATGGAATTCTAAGATTATAAATCACATAAGTACATGGAACGTCTCTCTAGATGTGTTGGGTGATTGTTTTAGGTAGGGATGTCACAACTAAAAATAGGGGGGGTGCCAAGGATTATTAAAAATGATTCCATGTTATAGAGTAGATTTTTCCGGTCAGAATGCTTCATTTCTCATAAAATTGGACAAAGTTGAGATTTTCTAGAATTTTTCAAAGTTTATGATTTTGACGTTTTCATTGGAAGATGCTTAAGTATTGGTCCTATGGGAATAGGCTAATTAGTCATGGCACCAAAAGAGACCATAAATCAACAATATCTGACATACATTTTATTGTATCTCTTAAAGTTTTCATGCTACAATCTTCAAATTTTCAGCATCTTAGGATCAAACAATTTGTAACAAAGGTCTTTAATTTCATCTTTTTACATACAAAAGTTTACATATTTTTTCCTAATTAGGCTAATGATTACATAATTACATAATTACATCATTTTTACAGGTAACGAGGTTCCCAGGTAAGATACAAATTGTGAACAGAGCTCTATACTAACAAGGTATTTTTGTGGTCCTAAATTCCCTTTAGAAGTAAACAAAGTATTTTAATGAGGATGATTAAATACCAAAATATGCAAATGAGCCTAATTACCAACATTTATATACATATCAGGATACATGTCACTTTTCTTTTATATAATAAAAATGTCACAGTAACCTGTTGACATATTAGCTAACTGTAATATTCAAACTGTAATATTCAATATTCATTTCTTGATTAACTAACAATTATTTCAATTAACAATATGCTAATTAGCCTTTTACAATACATGTATACTTACTACTCTTTTAAATTGCATTTTCACACTAACTACTTTAGTGCATGTATTTATGGATGTTACAATTACAGCTAAATTTACTTGATAAAGATAAAATGGTATTTTTACAATCTTTATCCACATTTTTTATCCACTTCACTCTCGTGTCTTCTCTGAGTCCAGTCTTGTTGACAAAGTTAAACAACTCCAAAACTGGCCCGTTTGTGAATCTGTCATGCTCAACTTGACAGCTGCCTGTTTCATGTGCAGTAAAGACTCAATCCTGCATTTCTGCACAGCTCTCCTGCATTTGTCTCTTCTTCATCCACTAAAATAAAATAAAATATGGGTAGTCAGTATTAGGTAATTAGTATCTAGTCTCACATGTACAGCCATATATAAATAGCCAATGGAAAAAGAAAACAGAAAACTAAGAAAACGAACAAGAAAAGAATAGAAGAGGAAAGCACCACTGAACATGAAGACGACCAATTGGAAAAAAGCAACAAGAGAGAAGAGAGAATGCACAGAAGGAAGAAGACAATCACATGGGACCATCTTCTGACAAGAGTGAGCGGAGTAATAGATTCAACAACAACAACAATAGCCATTCAAAATGTTCAGGATGATTCACTTTTCTTTGTTGAATTAAGATTTTAAAAAATGAAATCAACCATGCAACTGGCAATATAAAAAATAGTGAGGTTACTAGATTTGGCCTTGGTATCTGACATCAGAAACCAGAAATTTGATATTTTTTCTTCAAAGCTGGATCAGTAAACAAAAAAAATATCTACATCAGGGGCTGGGTAAATATTGATCACGATGGACAAAACATAACATTGAATATAACACTTTACGACAATCTCATGATCCGGCTAAAGTTTTTTTTTCGTCCAAAATATGCCACATTGTCGTAAATTAAAAGTGTAACACACTTACGCTTAAAATATATTATTAAAGAGCAGCGGAAATTATGATTATACTTATAGGTTGAATTAAACCGACAACGTTCGCGATCTCACGCCCCCCTCCCCTCACGGCCCGGCCGCGCGCATTGCACGCACCATTTTTCCGGCGGCCGGGAAAAACTAACAAAATGTTTCGCTAAACCCACAGCTTAAACTCGCCTCAAATGAAACAAAAACTACACCAACATAACCACAAGGTGTTTATATTTGTTGCTATGGGCGGACAAAATTGTTAAATTCAAGAAAAATAACAAAATTTTTCACATACTTTTTGGACGCTTCACTTCTCGACTCATACCTCCCGCCAGCGATGACGTATCAACTTTGTCCTACCGCCGTCGTGAACCCTGAACTCTGCCCTTTCACATCAAATCATTCCCAGAGTTCTACAAGCCCGAGCGGTTTGTGGCTTTTGAGTGGAAGAAGACGTCTCCGCCCGGCGGCTTCAAAATAGCGTGCCGCGTTCGCGGCGTCCGAACGGGGCTGATTTTCGGCTGTATTTTCAACTTTGCTGATTTTTAGCTCCTTTATTGATCCATATTTTCAACTAAAAATACAATGACACGATAGCTGACATCATATACATTGTTGATAACGATTTTTATTGGCATAATACAAACGGTTGATTTTTAACGATAGTTTAAAAATATTTACTGCCTCGCGCGCCCCCGCGTTCCAATGCCCGAGCGGGAAAGTTTGACATGCCTAGTTTTAGTAGTCTTACATCGGATCATCTGCATTAATTTGCGTCTCTCTTCGCACAGTAACGTGACTAGGACAGGTATTATCCGCCATATTGGATGAGTATAGGATTGTTGCAAGCGCGTCAACACAACGTACTGCGCCTGCGCGAAACACGGCTTTTAGTTGTGGTAGCAGGACACAGTTTCCGGCCTATGGAGATTTCTATAGTTAAGAACCCCAAAGTGACCTACTTCGACACGGTAAAATATAGTAGGGTGCAAAAGTTAGGTACAGTTCAACCTGAATATGTTTGAGTTCAAGGTACAAAATATGTGAAAATGGGCTAAAGTTTGTCGGCTAGTTCACTCGTGACGCAATCTTTTAAAAGCGCTATGCGGAAGCTCATGGAACTGCAGCAGGCGCACAGCACTAGGCTGTGACAGTATCAAGGCGCAAATCTACGCTAACCGAACAAAGGTCAAATTTCAACTTTTACAGTCTCAAACCTGTTGTATTCCTCTATCTTGTACCACAGTACCCGCGTCGCCGTCGTACACACAAGAATCTCTGTGTCTGTCTCAAGTATACGCCGACCTACTTTGTGCCCGTACTACTTTTGACTACGGAGTTCGCCCATTAATACTGTGTACTGCAACCTTTGTCAGAGTCGTCAGTTCCACATGGAGGCTAGTGGGATATTTGAAATACTAAAGAAATCAGTACGTCGACAGAGGCATGGTCATGTGATGTGATAATCACGAAAATTGCAAAAAAGACGTCATTTGGTGTCTTTGGAGGTTAATTTTACACACAAGGTAAAAGGATAGAATCGTCTGGCTCAACTTGTAAATCATTCCTTTGGTACTGAAAGTTCAAAGCAACAATGTTCCCTTCACCTTCCCAGCCTACACACATATACAAAAAAAAAAGGTATTTCTATTACATCTCGCAAAATGTTGAGCATTTCATACTCTACTGCAAACAGAAAAGAAATCAAAACCAAGAATAACATATCAAAAGTAGCGTTGGTAGCATCATTTACTATCATCTTTACTGTTTATTACTTTATCATGTTCTTGCAATTAGCCCTCGGGACTGGATTTGCAAGAACTTCTATATTTCTGGAAAATGAGTTATCGTATAGAAACTGCCATTACATTCCGTGTTTGCTTTAGTTACTTCAACATTTAATGTTTATTTACATCACACAATGGCGAGAGACTATCAATTATTTATTTTTCATGTCGCCACTAAAACGAAATGCAAAATGTTATGAAAACAAAGACTAGTAAACATATATGATTAAGAATTGAGATTAACAAGCGACTAACAATAAAGCTACTATACACTGCTATATATCATGGAAAGAAATAAAGACTCAACGAACGACCTATCTTCTGCTCATTTTTTTATTCACATATATTTATTGAGTATGAGGCAAAAAGCAAAAGTTGCTTATATGCCACCTTCTACTCAAAAACATACGAGTATAAAACACATTGACAAGATACATGCATAATTACAAGATGGATAAAACGAAGATAAATACGAACAAGACGAGTTGGTGATCTATCAATTACGAGAATCTGCCCGTACAGTAAATGAAGTTTTGCACTACATCAAAAACATTACAGTTTTCTTGGTGTGAGAGTGATGTGGACCCTCGAAGTAGTAAGGAACTGTTCAACATAAGGAACAGTCATTGAGATTCTGCTCAATTCCAGCTCTTAGTGCACGTGTGTGTTTCATACGACTCTCACATTCTTTATTGCATTATGGCTGCATTATAATGTTGCATTATCGTCTAGATCTATTTACATGGTGTTGTTGTATTATAATGCTTCTTACTCGTTATATTGTTGCTGTATGTTACTTGATATTATGTTATAAGATAGGACTGTGAAATGGATATTCTTTTTTTTGCTAAACAGATGAAATAATAAAGATTATTTGAAAAAAAAAACAGACGCCTACGGCACGAAGCAACATAAAACGATTACGTGTTCATTTGATATTTTGATAAGTCTCACCAGCGAGAAGTTTCTTTCATGTTTGCAAATCAAGCAATCTGCTTGCTTTACTTTAATCTTTGCTTTTAATTTCGTTCAAAAACTGCTTTTAGTATCACACCGCACACAAACATGTTATTGTTACTGAGCACCTGTCTGGTGTAGGACGTGTTTTTGCTGTCCAGAAACCTGACAAGTGGCACCATGAAGAGAGGGCAGCAGCAGCCCCAGACTGGCGTCACAGACGGTAGCGTGTTTTTGCTATATATTCCGTAACGCACAGTATTCCTGGACACAGCTATCCACGGCTGGACTGAGACGCCGCGAGTTCGAATCCCGCATGTGCATACCTGTGCGTAAACTGTAGCCCTTAAAATACAGTAGCGTGTATTGTCTGGTGAGCGACAGAGTCGGGATTCGAACTGATAACCTCTTGATACCGCTGTGCAAAGACTTGCAAGATCGAACTGGTTATTCAGCAAAAGATTTACGATGAATATGATTCTTATTTACATTAAATTCTCAACACAAAGAATATATCGACAAATGAAAATAAATACTTGTAATGTATAAAAAGCTCAAACGAACAGTGCCTTTTTTGATTGGAACGTTTATAAGAGCGAGTTGTAGTACTTTTAAAATGTTGGCTACAGCGCAGGTAACCAGTAAGGTTTCCTGTGAGTTTATACAGTTTATATGTTCCGAATAAACCATTCCTTCGCCAAGAAGGTTATCTTTTCAGTAGCGTTTGTCTGTTTGTCTGTTTGTGAACAGCATAACTCAAGAAGCTTAGTATGCATTGTCATGAAACTTGGTAGGTGGGTAGGTCTTAATGAGACCTAAAAATGATTAGATTTTGGGCGCCCTTGCGGCTTTTGTTCGTACTGCAGCAGAACTTCCGGTTTTTATATCTCGCGATCTGGACATGCTAGGGTCACGAATTGTGGTTGGTAGATAGCTCTTGAGGTAGGGAAGAAGTGACATGAGTTTGGGCCCCCTAGCGGCTTGTTCTGGAACTGCAGGAGCATTTGTTGAAAAATTTTCGAAGGATGATAACTCAAGAACCGGTTGACGGATTGTCGTGATTTTTGGTATGTAGGTAGCTTAAGGGATGCTTGACATAATCAAATGACAATTATGCAAATCAGGAGCTAGTTTGCATAATTAATGAGGAAATTCTATAAATCTGCTTTGTTCGATAATAGGACTATGAAACACTTGTGACATGTAATTGAGAATGAAAAAAACATCTGAGGATATAGATTATGTAAATGAAGACCTAATTTGCATAATTAATGGGAATTTTTTATAATTTCATAGTTGTAACTGCTGGGAATTTCATACTTGCCACATTTGGAAGTTAAGTGAAGGCGAACATCAATAAACATAATTTATTCAAATCATGACCTCATTTGCATAATTTATGAGGAAGTGCTGTAATAGCCTTTTTGTTAAGATAAGACTGTCATTGGGTGGAGAATATGATCAACTGATATAACCCATGCAAATGAGGATCTTATTTGCAAAATCAATTATCAAAATTGTATAATTCTTCAACCGCAAGGGTTAACATCATTTGCCGAAGGTATGAGATCGTGGAACTCTTGTTTTGTAATTTTTCTCCAGGCGCTGCAGCCACGCAGCAGCCCCAGACTGATTGGCAGTCCAACACTGCGTACACCTCCAGATCAGGTAAAGAAATTATATGTATACTGTAAAAAAAAATTACGGCTCTCAGTGGCAGATATGAGATGTTGTCACATCGGCGCACCAAATCCGTAAGGTGTTTTTAGCACCTTGACAGACAGATTAGCCTAAGAGGCTCGGTGGCCGTCACTCCACCGTATAGGTGGGGAAGTCGTGTAAAGTGCCTTTCCCAAGGGCACAACGTCGGGCCACAGTGAGTATCGAACCCGGGACCTCTCGGTTCCGAGTCCAACGCTCTAACCGTTGCGCCACCGACGCCATGTTATTATGTATACTGTACAGTACTGCATATACAGTGTATATGTTCCGAATAAACCATTAATTTATTCAAAAAACAGTTACTCAAGCAACTGGATATGATTTTGAAAACGTCAGACGTTTCAGCTAGTATCCACTAGCTTTCGTCAGTGACTGAGAGACCAGAGGGGAAAGCAGGTTTATATACACAACCTGTTTATTGATATGCAAATAAAGTGAAGACAATTTTTCTTTTTTTTTTGGAAGTCGAAAAAGGAACAAAAGTCAGACAAGTCAAGACAAGATGATGCAAATTAGTCTGAAAGCTCCTGTTATACAGGACAGGAGCTTAAGTGTTGTCTGTCCTCGGGGCTGGGAGTGCCAAATCCCAAGTGCCGGAAAGATCGACCCGTAGCCCCCCTTCCCTGTTGAGGGTGGGGTTGTACATTCTTTCATATATTGCCTCTTTAACACCCCGTTCCCACCAGCGTGTTTCGCGGTCTAAGACATCCGTGGACTCGAGTTTGAAAGAGTGACCCTGGTTGTGTTGTAGGTGGTGGAAAATGGCTGAGGAGTAGCCGTTGGCACTAGGTCGGCAATGTTCTTTGTACCTTACTTTAAGCGGTCGACTTGTCTCTCCGATGTAGGTGTTGTTACAATTGGGCTCCTCACATTTGAGTCTGTAAATAACATTCGCCTTGGTACCCTTGTGAGGTCGGTCCTTAGGGTGTACCAGTCTTTGTCTGAGGGTTGAGTGAGGTTTGAAGTTAGTGGCTATGTTGAAGTTTTGGAAGATCCGTCGGAGTTTTTCAGATACTCCTTGGACATACGGAATAGTGATGTTGGCCTTGTTTTTGTTGGTCAATGGTTTGCACTTCTGGGTTTTCTTAGACTGATCTGAAGGTTTGAGCGCTTTGTTGAAAGTCCAGTTTTGGTAGCCACATTTAGCCAGGGCACCTCGGAGGTGTCTATGTTCGTCCGTATATAAACCTGCTTTCCCCTCTGGTCTCTCAGTCACTGACGAAAGCTAGTGGATACTAGCTGAAACGTCTGACGTTTTCAAAATCATATCCAGTTGCTTGAGTAACTGTTTTTTGGCTATCGTATTACCTGGATGTCTAACCTTCATCGACGCATTAATTTATTCCCTTATTTCGTAATTTTTCTCCAGGCGGTACACCCACGCAGCAGCCTCAGACTGATTGGCAGTCCAACACTGCGTACACCTCCAGATCAGGTAAAAAAATTGCCAGCTTACGTTATACAAAATTATGTTGCTTTCTTGTTTTTTTTTCTCTTGGGCCTTCTTTAAAACTAGTCGGCGATCGGTGAGCAACCGTACAACGACAAAATCTGTGACCCCTGATTTTATTATCGTGTGTTTATTTCGTCCATTATACATGTGCTGTCTGATGTACACTAAAAACGTGGCATCGTCATCTGCTGTTCTCTTGTATAGACGCTGAATTGGGCATTTTAGGCATCTTAACATTACAAATTTTACAACTAATTAAAACATGTATACAATTACATAACAACTGATCAAATTATACAGTATACAGTTACATTGTAAAAGATAAAATAATACAGAAGCTATCTTAGGACTGTTTTTGTTCAAACGGTGAGTTAAGTATATGGAATAGGGATGTTGTCATACCAGTTTGTTTTTGCAAATGATATACAAAGCTGTTGGGCACTTTGCATAATTGGAATGTGACTGATATGTAAGAATAAGAATTTAAAAAGGGACAACAAAATACAAATGAGTCTGTCCTCTCCGCTTTGAAACATTAATGACACTAGCATATCAGGTGCTGTATGCGGTATGTTTTTATATTTCCCTCCATACCATAGGTTACGAAAATAAAATAATTGATACTGGATGGAAAAGATTGATATGGAACAGCCCATTTTGGAATGGGGACTAAGATGAAGTGAAATATGCTGCATTTGCTCTGAAGCCAATGTCAGCAGTTCTAATGTTACCTCACGTCATATACTTTTTTTAAAACTTTTTCATTTAATCTAATGTAATCTAATTTAATTCTTTTATTTATTCACCCAGGGTTTACATGTCACTATTTTTTTGCGATTTTCAATGCCCCCTGCACATATAGAACAAACCGTACTTCAGTAAAATAATGAAAAAGAAAGTTATAAACTAACTAAAGTACAATCATTGCATCATAATACATGTAATAAAATGCTTCAAAACAATACACTGCTATTATATGTAACGTTATGTTTTATTGTTAGATAGGACAGTGAAGTGCATATTCGTCTTTTTTTTTTTGCTAAACAGACGTCTACGATACGGACGTTAAGAAGTGTTGGCGCCTTCGCAACAAACTTTGGCAGATCATAGGCCTTGTGCTCGCAGTGGTGATCATCATACTGTTGTCTTACTTTGCAGGCAAGACTCTTACATTGCTTTAGAAAATACACGCATTGTTTTCCTGCCTCCCTAAATAGTTTATCAGGCTGGTGAGTCACTGAGTAAAGAGACTCTATAGAGAGATTCGGTTGTGTAAAAAGAGTCTCTATACTCTGTTATACCTGCAATTTTTATAGAGTTTAATTACAATTTACCAAATGTATGTTTTTACGATGTTATTTTTTTGTATTTTTGTATAGACTCTTAACGACTAGCCAATTTTGGCTAAAGGGTATCGTAATAAAGACAAAGACAACTTGGTATGCTGAATACTTGAAAATTTACTGGCAATTTCGAGAAAAAAAATGTAACCCGTAATGTATAGACATATCTTTTGGAAAACTCGTTTACATGCATTCTTATTTCTATAATCTCTGTGTAAGTAACCACTTACATTTTTTTCGATATAGCCAAAAACATGGAAATGGAAAAGAAATTTGTGGAGGCGGAAAAACGAAACAAGAAGACTGAGCTACGAGTAGCCGAATTGGAACGTTAGTCATCATAGAACTTCAATTACTTTCTATGTAGCTTTTGTAGTCATGTGCGTTGTAATTATGTACCTACATGTGTAAAGGAACATACATGTATAGTTTACTGCATGCACGCCCAATGCTCTTTTTGGCATCAATATCTGTATCACCTTATATGTGTTTAGACTGATTGCTGCATTCTAATTCTATTCTCCCTGATCTATTGTTAATTATTTCATAGGTATCCCATACTAGCCACCCGCTCTTGTATTAGTTAGGTTAGCCTTATGAAAGTGTACTTAGTATGTACTAGTAGATGCCATACACTTTTTTTTGCAATAAAGTTATTTTATTTTCAGAGATGTGTGTTTCACCCGGGCATCCCAACTTTACCGTGTCTCCTGAAGATAAGAGGAACATGAGCCCAGTTGGCTCCGGCTCTGTCGGGCCTCCTGGCCCACCTGGCCCTCTAGCTAAAAAGGCGGCCATTGGGCCAGTTGGCCCCGTGTCTATCGGGCCTCCTGGACCTCCTGGGCCCCCTGGCCCTCCTGGCCCTCCAGGCAAAAAGGCGGACATTAGGCCAGTTGCCCCCGTGTCTCCCGGCCCTCCTGGGCCACCTGGCCCTCCAGGACAAAAGGGGGCCACGGGGCCAGTTGGCCCTGGGTCTGACGGGCCTCCTGGGCCACCTGGCCCTTCAGGGGAGAAGGGGGCCATTGGTCCAGTTTGCCCTGCGTCTGCCGGGCCTCCTGGCATTCCAGGACAGAAAGGGACCATGGGCCCGATTGGCCCACCAGGACACAAGGGAGTCATGGGCCCAGTTGGCCCTGAGTCTGCTGGGCCTCCTGGGCCACCTGGCCCTCCAGGAGAGAAAGGGGCCACGGGCCGAGTTGGCCCTGCATTTCCCGGGCCTCCTGGGCCACCTGGCCCTCCAGGAGAGAAAGGGGCCACGGGCCCAGTTGGCCCTGCATTTCCCGGGCCTCATGGGCCACCTGGACCACCCGGACGCCCGGGACACAAGGTACTGGAACCAGCTGGACCTCGGAGGTGGTGCGTGAATGAAGGTTTGGACTATCCATTTTACTTTGACTGAGCACAACTTTGAAAGTATATCACCTTAGCCATAGACTGCAGCTGTTTGACGTTTTGCTCTTATCGTTTTACTTTTATCATTCCCAAAGAGAGGTGTCGGAATGTAAAGACATGCAATACGTTTCGTTTCCCCCATGCAGGTTGTCCCAAAGGTTATCGTAAGCAGCGTGGAATCTGCTACAAGGTATTCACCGCTCAACTGAAGAGCTTCGTCGACGCGACAGCGACTTGTCGTCAAGACGGCGGCACCCTCGCCATGGCCCAAGACGCTGAGACCAACGATTTGCTGATTTCCCTGTACAAGGCCGCTATAAGCAGTGGGGCCGGATTCTGGCTCGGCCTCTCCGATACGCGCGAGGAAGGAGTGTTTGAGTGGGCGAATGGCACTCCCCTTGGAGCGTACAGACCATGGGGTCAGGGAGAACCTCATCCCATGGGCAGATGGGGCAACAACGATCAAGACTGCGTAGTGCTGTCGATTGTACCTCGCAAGTGGGTCGACGTGCTTTGCCGTCACCGGTTTGGATTCATTTGCCATGTCAAGCCAGGTACCACGAGCCAACACCACTCTTACTAATCAAAGCTAAGCACTACTTTTGAGAATATCATACATTACATTGTTTATATGGTATTTGAGTGCATTGTATTTGCAGGCGTCAGCATAATTTATTGTACATATACCTATGTGAGAAAAATTAGTGTGACAAACTTAAGTAATTTAGGGAAGGCACATATGTGCCCTTCCCTGCCAATATGTGTTTCAATTTGTGAAAAGAAATAAACAACAAAATAAAAATAGTTATCTATTAATGGCATGGCAATGGGTTTCAAACTAGCACTTGTCCTTATTGCCACGAGTACTAAAGCAGTCCATGACGTTCACATTTTACTTTGTTGTTTCTGTTACAGAGTACAAGTGTGCCTAGGAGACATGGTCAAGTACTCACTGACACTGTGGACTGTACTGCGATGATCCTGTACACATGCTGCTAGAGGCAGAGAGCACACATTAGACCTACAACGTAGCAGAGGAAAGCAGAGACACGGATATCGTCAACCTAGCCGGCATGAAAGAAGGCCTTCCTGAAGCCGTAAACACGCAAATGTACCTTGCCCTCTCCAGGTACATCGAGAGTATTCACGCGCACCGATTCGATGTGCTCTCCTAGAGACACTTTCAGCATCAGACAAGTAAAAAGGCACACAGGATAAATACCTAGAGATACAATTTGACTCTGGAATGAACCATGAGCAATCCATCACCAAGAGGCCACGTCTAGCGAGATATCAAACGAGTTTAACAAGGACAACATCAACAACAACATGATCCTCTGTAGAACCCAATAACTTGGAAGTAAAGTACCAAGCCTGGACAAACGTAATTTGACTAGAAACCTATTAATACTAGCAGTAATATTACCTTAATAGACTGCGTTCCAACAGAACAATTTGTGACCATGGGCGATAGGCCAAGTAGTCTTTGTTGACCTTGCTGTTGCTTTGTCTATACACTAAAGATATTGTGTATAAACTCGATAGGCCATAAGAGGTCACTTTTACGGCTTAAATAATTGTCTGAACGTAATAAAATGTCTAATTAGGAGAATTATTTCTTGACAATTATAAAGTGTATACCAGAGAAATGTTAATTAGCATGACATGAACTATTATAATGAAGAACAAAAAATGTAAGAGTAAAATGTCATCAACATTTAGTACCCATATGGTGAAAACTTGATAGCGTTTAGGCCCTTTATACTATCTTAAAGTCTAAACAGAGAAGGGAGATATGCTGCCCTAATAGTCACATATTACCATCCAATAACTCATTACAATTGATGTAAATGTTGTGAAAATTTACGTGCTGTATTTGACGCAGTGTGGCCAAGATAATTGAAATACAAATTGTTTGTATCATGAACAGACAGCAATATATGGATATTCGTAGAATTGTAATGAAGGAGAGGATTTTTATGTAAAATTCAGTGCTATACTTCGCTTCTCTAGTAAATATAAGTAAACTAGAAAGCATCAGTTATGTGCCAACGTCAAGAAGGATTAAAGACTAAAATGAAATCCTTAACTAATTTACTTAGATTCAAACGCAATGTAATGAGCAGAAAATACGTAATGTACAAAAGGCATTTGAAACAAATAAAGAAATTTCATTTGGATGCTATTCTCTGGGTATTTCCTCCATATTCTGACTGTCAGTTGGTTCCAAATGGAGCACAGTATGAATACCGTAACAGTGTAACATGATGTTAACAGAAAACCATCGGTACACAACATACAAACTTAGAATGTGATAATTAACATACAAAACGGCAAGCCATAAAGCTAAAAGCACAAACCTACGAATCACCCACATTAAGATACGGTTGCAAGACGTGCAAGATGTGTACTAGTGTCTAGTAGCATGTGCTTACATCCAAACATCCGCATTTGGAGTGAAAAACACAAAATACCGGTTGACGCTTGGGTCTCTTGAATTTTTTAAACAATTTCTCGCGGCAAAATTTGAGTCGGAATATTTTCAGAGGGGCCGCATGTCTCTCGCCCTCTCTCTCTCTCTCTCTCTCTCTCCCTCGTACACACACACACACACACACACACACACACACACACACACACACACACTTGGGGCAGTCTACAGAGGAAGACCAGAGTGACTGGTCGAAAGCTTCAGTGAGAGAACTTCTCTTGTGTGTTGGAACAACTTAAAACAACTAGAACAGGTTGTTGACCAGCGTGTTGGCCGCAGATTCTACAGTGAACGTGGTGACGGCGAGCTGCTTCCTCACGAGCTCCCACCGCGTCGCCTGGTCGGCCGGGTTAACGTTGTCGATGTCGAGCAGGGCGTCGGCCAGGCCCGGGAAGGACTGTCCCGCGTAGGTGTTCACACTGCTGGGGGCAAACACCACGTGTCTGCAAGGTA